CGTTCTGGGCATGCGCTGTTGTTATCAGAGAACCGAGCCAGGAAAAAACCGAGCCGAACCCACCTCGGGAACTGGTCTGCAGTTAGCGCGGTCCGGTTATGTCTATCTCGGTTCAGTTCAGGTTGTTTCCGTTCACACACGACAAGTTATCTCAGTTACTGAGCTCGGACCGGTCTCGGCTCAGTTTTTTAAGGGTAGTGTAAACGGGGTATATGTCTCCCCGCCGCTGCATGTCTGGCGACACCATCACGCTGGGTTAGCATTGATGTCACCAGTGGGACCCAATTCAGGACAGTAAACAATGGGGAGCAACATGTAAGGAAGCCAGGGCATAGTAAACGTGCTTTAACGCTTTGCACTATTATCTATCTAAATCTCTCTTACTACTGCTGCAGCCTTTTTATCGAATGTAAACAAAGTTGTTTCGGTTTGTTAGATCAGACTCAATTGGCACAGTGTGTTGAGATCTGTAACACAAAATGGTACCACATAAATTAGCGAGTCAACCCGACTCTTGTGTTCCCACAGCATGCCAATCAGAGCCGAGGCGATTTTTAACCTGGGTCGCTTGCCGGGTCGTTTGACCCGGTTAGACCCTCGTCAGTGAGCTGTTTACACTGCCACTAAAAGCCAATTGTTCGTGGGTTTAAACAGGTTTTCCGCCAATGGGAAAGGGGTCTCTAAAGGACATCAAACTGAAACCCCAGAGCCTGCCATTTCCTCCAACACATGTAGAGATCAATGAACATGTTTCTGCAGTTAGGGCTGTGTTTTTCTTCTATAAGCACCTGTTCCCATCTAACCGAGATCTCACTGATTTAGCTTTATTATGATTTAGCTTTATTATGCCTGCATGGAGTCTGCACATAATTTATGTTCTTTACGCTCATGTTTGACTGAATACCTTTCTTTGAAAACACAGAACATCCCAGGAAACACTCTCAAGCTCCAGTAAGTAAAGCACCATGCGGATAAACACACACACTGAGTGCTCACCTGTAGACTATCCTCTCACGGTGCAGATCCTCAAGGCCACAGCAGATCTCAGCAGCGTAGAAAATGGCTCTTTGCTCGTCAAAGCCAGAATTTCCCATGTTATAAATGTGGAATTTCAAGTCACCACCATTCATTAAGGTTAAGACCAGGCACAGCGCATCCTTTGTCTCATAGGCGTAAGCTAGACTAACCTGAGGGAGAAAAAGAGGACACATTTACAGAGGTGGTAACAAACCTGGAGGAGAGACATGCTGGGAGGAAAAGAGGGGAGGGGTCAGAGGATAAGGGGAGTGAAGCGGTAGCCCACAGGGAGACTGGAGCCCAACTCTATCAAACTATTATAACCCCCCAAACGATCATCAGCTATCCCAAATGGATCGTCAGGAATGTACACAAAGAACCCAAAACAGAAATATGCCAGCAATGGAAAATCCATGCTGTTGCTCTCATCCCGTCATTAATCACCCCCCTACGCCGTGCGGATGTGCAGTTGTGTACAATGTTGCTGCCATCAGGAAGGATTCCCATCTGCTGCAGAGCATGTAGAAAGAAAAAAAAAAAACAGGAGGGAAGGAAAATGCTCCTGTGGGCCAAATGAGCAACAAACACCCGGAGTAAATATACGTTTTATCATTTAAACAAACACAAATATGCAAAGCACATCCAGGACTAGGAGTGTTTCATGGAAAGATAATCATAGTCTTGTTCCTTGGCATCAACTTGGCAGAAAAAAGGAGGTTAGATCTCTGTGACTACTGAAAAGATAAATCTGTAGGAGCAAAAATGAATCAGATCATATCTGACCTGCTTTAAGACCAGCACAGACATCCATAACAATCAACATAAAATTAAACAATTACTTTTACTGTATCAGTTCAAATAAAACTCTTATAAGCCTTCATTTCCTTAACCTTTCCGTTCTGCATTACAAGCGACTTTAATAAACACTAATATGGATATTGAAGGAAAGAGAAACTAATAAAAAAAAAAACTGCCCTACAGTGTGGTAGCTCTACCTCGCTTCGTCTGCAAGAGCCTTCAGAGCAGAGGCACCCCTTTGGCTCATTCCTCCCACACCAACACAACACGGATGGCTCAGTGCTTCAAACATGCAGCGAGCTAATGGTATGCATGGACTAATAGTATGCACCAATCGCAAAAAGGTAAAGAACAATACTGAGAGCCAGGAATGAGGACATGGAGAGAGCACTTGACTCTTCTCCTCGCTGCTGCTGTTTGGTCAGCGTTTCCAGGCAACAGTGCTGCTCTTGTAGGTAGAGAGGCACATGAAGAGTCATCCGTTCTGCCTGCAGCACTGACTACCAACACATAAGCATATATATATATATATATATATATATATATATATATATATATATATATATATATATATATATATATATATATATATATATATATATATATATATATATATATATATAAATATAAAACATGTGCCAATACCAGGTGACAGGAGCTGGGAGTCTGAGGTTCGGCAACATACCCACTCCAACCTCTATGTGCGTGTGAACATGCCTCTGCCGTGACTCACAGAAATCAAGGGCGCGCAGCATAACTCACGCTGCATCAGAAACTGACTAATCCAACACTATCCGGACACCGCCGCTAGCTTCAAGTAGAAAGCATGAGCAGGACTGTGGCTCAGCGCGGTCCAGGGTCCTATGAAGCTCATCGATATCTGGTCAGCACAGTCTACGGATTCATTCAGGAGGCTGTAAAAATCATCACAACAACCTTCATCCTTATCAAAAAAAAGCAATTCACACCCAAATCTTAAACTTTTCTAGTGAAAAAACAAAGCTAATTTCCACAAAATTTTGGCGCCATTGCTAAGCAAAGAGCACCACGCACTGACCTGAGAGTAGTGTGTTCCCCCAGCTGGTCTGGGATTTAAAGGAATTATAAATATGTCGAACTTCTAACATTCGTTGATTTATTTAAAGGAAGTAAATCGCAGCTGAAGTACACCCTCTTCTCCTGCACCGACGTATGTTTGTGTGAAAACTCAAAGCAGACGGAAAGAGAGACACACATTCCTGGTTTTATAGTTGAGCTTGAGAGCCGATATGGACAAGCTGCAGAACATTTTCAGCATTTCCATTTCTTCCTCTGGATTCACAGGAAAAGAACAAATAAAAGCCTGATGCTGGGAAACAATGTGCTTCTACACTTATGCCAAACAATTTGCACGTAACAATAATTTTTCTCTTGTTTTGAAGTCACTAAGCCTTAAAAATCTGAAAGCCAGAGTAGGCGAGAGGATATTTGCTTTAAATTCAGAAGTTTACGTATTTGGAAAGAAACGGCCAGCAACTTTCCTGACTTGGGTTAAATATATTTTCTTATACAAGCTTCCCTGGATAGTTCACTGTCACATTTGTAACTACCAGAAAACTTCAACAGGATGGAGATCAGGGATTTGTGATGCACGGTCAAAGGATCCCTATGTAACTTTCAGCCACTAGGGGCGTCAGACCTGTAACCTCCAGGTTAAGCACCCCTGAAAGCAACACTCAACTGCAGCAAAATCAAACAGCCTTCCTCCATGTTCTGGAATCTGATAGCAGAAGTCATTAGTTGCTTATAAAGAAAACAAAATATTCACTTCTAGGTTAGAGGTGAATGTTCTGGCAACTGGCAGCTCAGAGCAGCATGTCACTGCTGACTGTGGTCTGGGCACGTAACACAAGTCATTCTCTTAGTCGCAAACAGCAGCTCCATGTGAAGACTCTTCCCAGCAATCAGCTTTGGTGTGACTTGGCGCACATGAGGCTGAAACAAACCAAAATTATGGACACTTGGACAAAGAGCCGGTCTCCTGAACCATACGTTGGCTAAACAGTCCCATGCTGGTTCGACGTCCCTCAGGTACTGCTTTGAAAAACATCAACAAATCTACTTTTCAAAGGTTACATGTGTAAAGTGACTTATCAGAGGCTTCAAAGTTATAACCCTATAAGGTTCCCACATTGTTTAAAGGCAGAGGTGTTTGCATCCTCCAAACAAATAAAATAAAGCATGGGTTAAATATTGCACAATGTTTTTTCTCTTACAATGTTTACATTTGATCACTGCTGCACTTTAAGAAAATGGAAATGTCTTGAGAGCTGTACAAAACGAAATTTCGTTTTGTATGCACTGTATGTATACAAAACGACAACAAAAGTTGTCTAAGTCTAAAATAAAAATTTAAAGTATATAGTGTCTCTCTCATTCATTAGATGGTATATAAGTGACCTGTCTATGAGGTCCGTGCAACACAATTTCCTACTGACATACTGTAATTTGGTTCGTAAATGTCAGCACTATCAACAGATTGTGAAAAAAACTCCTGGAAAGAAATTACGGCATGAAGAGCCTTTGAAAGTTGTGAAAGCCTGCATTTTCTACTTCCTCATCTAGTGTGGTGTGACCAGCTTGCTGTTCGTCCTGAACAGGAAGGGAAAGTGGCACAAATTATAAATGTCGGTGCATCAAGCCTGACCAACCTAGAAATGAAAATATTTAGACTAAATTCCCATTGATTGGTAAAAATTCAATCTTTGTAGCACAGTGTTTCATGCTGCTAATTAAATGTGAGGACATCAGGACATGAAAGCCACCCGGACGTGCAGGAGAAAAATACAGACGCCACACAGCAGTTCATGGAAGCAGGCCAACTAGAAGGGTTCAATAAAGCTTTGTTGGTGGAAAAATAACTTTAAAAAACAAAACTTTCTGTTAATAAACTCCTGAGAAACCAACAAAGGAAGGAAGGTATTAAAAAATATAGCCCCACATTTAACAACAGTTAAATCAAAGCAAAGCAATCGGTGATGCTGCTGTTGGGTAGAAGTCTGTCTGGATGAGTATTGAAGGCCATGAATGGAAAAGTTGGCTAAAACATGGCCGCTCAGACTGCAGATGCTTTTAAAACTATAGAGATTTGCATTTTATTTGGTACCAAATATCGAAGTGGCTTAAATCAAAGATTGAATCAAAAGATTGGAAGTGGGCTGTTCCAATTGCCTAAAAAAAAAAGGTGGTGGACATGAGTCACATGTTGGGCACATAGATCAGATTTGGGTTACATTTGCCTGAAGTGGAAACATAGCCTTCTTCTTATTTAATGTCAAACACAGAGAAAACAAATGGTTTTAACTATCTGTTTACTTTTAACGTTTATAACACTAAACCCACAATAATACAAGTTTTCTCATTTCAAGCAAATACTAAAATGCAGTGACAGCATACTGCAAATTAATTGACATCTCTGATGTTTGCATCATTTTCCTCCAAGTAAAAGACTTACATTTAATGTTATTTAATGTATTGAAGCAACACAAGTGGTCCAAATATTTACCTTAAAAAGATAAAAGTCAATATTTTGAGGCAGAACTCCAGCTGCCGCTTCTAACTTAAGGTCAGCTACTGGAGGATTTGCAACCATCATTGAATTTAATTTGCAGGATCCTGCAGCCACAAACCGCTCACATGCATGCATGCAAAACAGATGCAATTGGGGAAAAGGTTGAATAAGAAAAAAAGGTCGTACTTACTACAAAACTACTGTTAACTTTTTCTAAAATGCGTTTTTCGTTTAGTGCCATTGCTTCACCTTTTCTTTTCTTCACACGTTTCTTTTCCAGCTTTTTACAGGCGTACATCTTACCGGTGGCACGTACTTGGCAGGCACAAACCTGGGGAAAACAAGCAGACTCGTGTCAATCATTTGTCTATAAAATGCACTGGTAGCTACAACACAATGTCCGATCTTACCTCGCCAAATCCACCTTTTCCTAATACTCTATAATGTCTGAAGGTATTTTTGGTTACAGGTTGTCTGCAGGAATAAAACAAAGCAAAAGGAAATGTTATAGCAGGAGAGAGGAAAAAAGGATTAATAAAACAGCTGATGTCACTCTGACAGACCATGTGATGTTGCAGACAGATTGATGGTCATTTATTATTAATCCAACCTGATGACTGCTGCTTCCATCCTGTTCTTTTTCTCTGACTATTATGCAAAGCATAAATTATTAACCTCTCACAGACGGACTGATTTGGAGCCCCACCTTCACTGCCGTTGCTACTTAAATGGCTCACTGATTCTCTTATCAGCCAGTTTTTAGGAGGAAGCCCCCAAAAACAGCCTAAATGATCTGTACATACAAGATCACGCTGGAAGCTCTGCAATTGCTGACTCTACTCACCTTTCCAACCATTTCCACTGCAGGAAGCGAGAAAAGTACATGGACTCCTGGTAGGAAGAAAATGGAGCTCCACTCAGATAATCACGAACTATTCTGGAGCGGAGGAAAGAAAACAAAGAGGTCTTAGGATTATTCTGGTGAGCAGGACTCCTCGCTGGGCTACGATGGGACAGAGCAAAGTCAAATCACCATCTACAGTCCAGCACAGGTTTAGGTTTATGCAGCCCTCTAATTTATTGTCCAGACTGGAAAAGATAGTTAAACAACATACATTTAGGCTTAAACCCTGCTTGCAATGATTTGGACTAAACACCTAGCATTCCTGCTCCAAGACGAAAGAAAATCAAAAGCTTTTCTGAATTTAAGCCTCAAACTAAAACCTAAAAGATTAAAACACAACCCTGCGCTTTGTTAGTGTTAAAGTAAATTGTATTACTTATAGCTCCTTTAAACCAACACCATTTGTTGGTACAATGTCAGCTACCTGCATACTTTAGAAATGACTTCGGCTTAAATCTGTCAGCTGCAACAATATAGTCCTTTCTCTGACTTTTACCGCTGTAGCACCGCCTTAATAAATAGTATAAAAAGGTAAAACTATGTTTAAGGAGGGAACTGATTTGTGGATGCAAAAGCATCACATTCTTCTTCTAACAAATAACTGCATCACAACAATGGAAGTATTTAATGTAGTCAAAATAAACAATATTATGACAAATAAAGGCATGCAGGTTAGTAATTCTGCTGAAATATCTGCAATTGGGTAAACTGAATACAATAATAACTAAACAAGAAATAAAAGTATAACAAAGTTGGAAATATTGTACTGTTTGTTAATTATACTTTGATATTTATGACAACTGAATATAATCTGGACAACACAGTGCAAGACCAATAAACACATAAGACACCTAAATGCCCCTACCATGCTTGTTTTGGAGCTTTAAGAAGCAGCAGGAGGGAACCAATGCTATCTCAACATAAAAACAATGTGCAGGATTTGAACCTGCAACCTCTCTGCCTGTAGTTCAGAATCAAAATCAAAACAACCTTTAATTTAACCTATATTATCTTAGGGGATTATATTTATAATAAAGCAAACAATTCATTTTCAGGTTACTTCCATACGTTTTCTTCAAACTGTTTTACTCAATAGATTTCTCTTATGCAACAACCAAATCTTGGATTAGCTCCAGTTTTACCCCGATTGTGTTATGTGACAAACTGCAGACATCTCATCAGTGACTGACAAGTCTCTGCAAGTAGAGAGAGCTGTAACTGTTGACAAAAAATAAAAAAAGCCCCCCCCCCAGCTACTCTCAGCCAGAAACTAAAGTCAGAGCAGATATCCGATCTCTACAACCCAAATGATGACGTGATGCTCATGTTCGACTCCAAGATTTTCCCCAAACCATCATTTTAAATACTTTAACACTAAGCGAGGGAAGTAAAGCTGCCTGTGGTCACTGCTAGCTGCTTCTACCAAAACTCCTCAGAGTTTCCACAAGGAAAGCCCCCCCACTGAGACAGAGAGGGAGAAAATATCCCATGGTATGTCTCCGTGCTCCTCTGTATACGAGCTGTCGAAGGAATTTCAAAAAAACAAATCTTTCAGGTTACAATCATGTATATCGTATTAGAGGCTCCCAGGAAGCAACCAGCACAGGGTTGTCCTGGTTTAACAGCATCATGGAGAGAAAAACAAAAGGAGGAAAATTGCACTGAAAGGCTGGATTTCCCATGTGCCATCATACGACAGCGTGTTGGAGTGCAGCAAGGAATATCCAGGAGTGAGTAAAACCTCTGACCAGACCGTTTCCTACAGGTTTTCAGCTGAGGCACAGCATCTGATTTAAAAAAAACTGAGGAAATCTAAACTGCGCAGTGGAAAAAGCAGACTGCCTGGGGGAAAATGTACTGCAGATCAAACTTAGGAAGATCTTTTGTTCTAAACGGGTTGTGCTAAGCTGCAACATGTGCCTGAGTGGTTTCATGTTTGCACATTCAGATGTAATCTGGGGAAGGGCAGCAGCATTCGGACCTCCTGAGGAAACCCCTCTTCTTATCCAACTACAGCTCCTCCCTGTGAAAGTTCTAAGCAGTAATTTCAAGTCTAGCCATAGATTCTTCATTCGATTTAGACGCCAAATTTGACAACAACACTTCTTAGAAATAAATATGCTTTGATCTGCACACTGCATCTGCAGGCTTTAGCCCCATTTACACTACCCTCTGAAAATCGATCCGTGGCGAACTTGGACCAGTTAGCTGTGCTGAGCTCGGTTTCTTATAATCATTTACACAATACGCTAGCATGGTTCCTCACCTCATAGTGACGATCTATGGTACTACTGCTCTCTAGAGGTAAACAAGCAAGTCAACATAGCGGAGAGCCAGGAGAAGAAGGCAGCCTTTGGTAGCCTTGTAAACTAGCCCAACCCGCCAGCGGCCAAAATCATTTTTGCCTCTATCTTTGGTCTAGCCTCGATCAATGCCCTAGGCCAGGGGTCTGCAACCTGCGGCTCCAGAGCCACATATGGCTCTTTGGACCCTCTCCAGCGTCTCTTTTAAAATGTATATAAAGAGCTAAATCATTTACTATAATATATACCGGTATCAATAGCTTTAGCTTTTTTTATTAGATGGAAAAGAAATGAGATTAAAAGAACCAGAAATATGTTTTAAGAGACATTTTTCTATGAATTAGCTTGAAAATGATATGTTTTAACACTAAAAATATATGAATTGATTGTTTGAGATGGCAACAACTAATTTCCTATACAAGATTTAAAAAAAAAAGGTTTTCTAGAAAAAGTCATGGTATATTTTGCGGCTCTAAACAACTTTTATTTGGTAGTACTCTGGGCAAAACGGCTCTTTGGATATGAAAGGTTGCAGACCCCTGCCCTAGGCCCTTAGCCTCGTGAGACCATCCTGATCTCGCGAGCTTTCAAGATTTCACTCGCTAATCAGTCTGGAGACTCTCCGTTGAAGAAAATTTGGAGCCGTTCACCAAACGAACGTCCAATCAGAGTTGGCTCAGGAGGGTTGAGGTGTGACGCAATGAGAAGCGCGACAGTTCAGTCTAAAGAACATGGCGGCTTCAGCCAATGAAACTAGCGTTAGCGTGGCTATCGAGCAAGTTTTATCGGAATAACAGAGTATTTCTTCACTGAAAGAAGAGCAAAACACTGCTCTGCAGGCTTTTCTCAGAGGAAAAGATGTTTTTGCTCTTCTCCCGACTGGTTTCAGCAAGAGTAGCCTGGCTGTTAGTACGTCATATGCTTCGTTGATCTGATTGGTTTATTTGGCCCGTCTATCACCAACATAGGCCAATCAGCTAACCAGTATTTTCGCCCCTTCCCAAAATTATTTCAATGGAGGGTTTCCAGATGGATATGGCAAATCCATCTGACGGAGTCAGGTTACCAGGCCCTTGCATGAGCGATGCAAACAGCAACTTTAAGGCAGAGCGTGCACAAGGAGAACCTTTAACTATGCAAAATTACTTCAATAAAAGCTGAGAACGAAGCAACAGGATTAAAATAATAGCCTAGTAAACTAGCTCCACCCGTCAGCACCAAAATCATTTTTGCCTGGGAGTGGTGTAGCCTCGATCAATGCCCCAGGCCCTAGAACTGGCAGGTCAATCACAACGCAGAGATGCGTTTTGAATTTCAGGATGCAAAGTGGGCGGGGTTTTGTGACGGCAAAGTTGCGCAATGCTGGAGAAAGCACAACAAGGAAGATGGCAACAACTATTGACCAGTTCTTGTTTGACTCAGCTTTGGAATCAGTTTTGGAAGGATTAGATTTGGGGTTTTCATTGAAACGTGAGAAGAAGAGGCTCTACACTCATGCATTTTTAAGAAGGACGTATTGCCGTTTTACCGTCAGGCTGTTTATTTACACTCCCCCACCAACTTTCTGTCATGTTTCCTACGTCACAGTCAGCTGCGCACATTGGTCAGAGCGCTGGCCAATAGGCACAGACATGGTTTGAAAAACAGCAGGTTGTTCCATCAACAATCATTTGATGTCTAAATCATCAGGGCCAGACTAAATTATACATTTAATCTGGTTTATCAGGCTAAGCCTTTAGTGAATTTTCTTGAGTCGGTTTTTGGGAAGTGGATACGACAAACGATAGTCTGATCAGGGGTTACAGACGCAGGAAATAATGACAGGAGTTGAGGTTCATCACACTGCTAAGCAGAATCATCACTGGAAATCATGTTGCACTGTAGGGAAGCTTGTATTTTTTTTATAAATGTCTGAAATTTCATGATTATGGAGGCTGACTGTAAGGAGATGACATGGTCTACTCATGTGCTCTTCATTATCTGGGAACTGAGCCAGAACTGAACCTCGCTATTGATGAACTAGTACCAGTTTAGCACGGTTCAGGTGTGCTTACCATTTACACTCAACAGTTATGTCAGTTACCATGCTTGGACCGATCTCAGCATGGTTTGAAAAGGGTAGTGTAAATGAGGCTATTGGGTCTCCACTTTGCTGGAAGGAGAACCTCCACCTCAGTCTCAAGTTTTTTAAGACCTCCAAAAGTTTTTTTCTCAACATTCAAGTCATCTGTCAAAAACCAACTATTTTCACATAAACCCCTGTTCAGCTTTCTTGCAGAAGAAAGTCATCCCCAAAGAATGATGCTGCCACCACTGCTTTAGACTGTTGGATACTGTAGCAGTATTTCATTCCTACTTTATCTTGCTGCCACCACTGTGTTTTAGCATAGAGATGCTGAACTAAGTGTGGTGAGTGAAATGTTTAGTCATAGTTTACTTGACAAACTACTTCTAAGGCCTTTGCTGTCGTCTTGTGACAAACAGGGATCCTTTTGGCTTTTCTCAGCGACCTCCGTTCCACTCATAGCTGTCCTTTAAACATCTGAGGCCATGAGTCTCTGGCTACGTCCACACTGCAGGCCTTGATGCTCAATTCTGATTTCCGTTTCTGTTCACATTCTCAAATATATGCGATTGCGACTTGTATGTGATCACCTGTGTGAACTGCAGTCATAGAGCGCAAGTGTCCTGCATGCGCAATAGAAGACGCGATGACGTCACAGGCCAGTGTGCTCTGTGTTTACAGAAATAAACATGGATTGTAGAGCCGGAGTGCATCTAGCGATCTTTCCCAACCATAAAAACACAATCTTTTCAAGATGGTTAAACATAAATACTGCTCTCCGCATCATCGTCCGCCATGGTTGTTGTTTTTCTTGCCGCTTCTTCATAACAAGACTCAGAATAGTGACCTTTGTTGAGTATTAATGGCGTTCAGTTTGGATGAATGCAATCTGGCCATTCAGACACAGATCGCATTTGAAAAGATCAGATACGTATCGGATTCAGGACCACATATCCAAGTGGCCTGGGTCATATTGGAAAAAATCAGATCTGTGTTGTTCAGACAGCCATGAAAAGATCAGATCCAGGTCGCATATGGGCCAAAAATCTGATTTGGGCCTCAGAAGCTCCTCCAGAGTTGCCATGGGCCTCCTGGCTGCTTTTTGTTCCCCCTTTAAACTCTGACAGTTTATCTTGTTCTAGTCTCCATATATTTTAAAATAAAGTCATAGTATTCCCATATGCAGATTATATGGGGAGCTTAGGATAATGCTTCAGAACCCAACTCTCTGTTAAACTTTTTGTTTTTCGTGATCCTGTTTGTTAAAAAACAATGTAAAAAAAATAAAACTCTAAGGCCTTCACTGAAATGCTGGAGTTATACCAATATGAGACTACTGATAGTTATAATTATAATGTGCACCACACATGAGGTTAGGTTATAAAATGTCTTCTTGAGAATATTGGCATGTGAGGAATTTTAAGAGGTATGAAGACTTTTAGAAAATCCTGTAGTTCTTTGTAGTTTTATATAAAGCAGCGTAGTTTATATAAAGCAACCATAAAGCATATTCTCACATATACAAAAAAAAAAAACACATATGACCTCTTTACAGGCTCACAATGAAGTAAACAAGATTTAAAATGACTCAGTCCTGAGAAGTTCCTCCGAAGTTTAAAAATCCAGAAGCAACAGCGTAACGGCTCCTCTCAGTCCTTTCTGACAGGTCCAAACCATTGGAGTTATTATTCTAGAAACTAAACTTCAACAAATTCCCCAGTTCCTTTTCAAACTGAGAACACATGCAGCTGTTGTCCAACTATGATCCCTGCTTTTCCTAAATTCCTCTTTGAAACCAGACGTTTTCCTGAGGATCTCAAGTGAGTCAGGAGCAAAGCCCAAACTTCCAGAGTCTTCACGCGCAGCAAACCATGCCTTTAAAAAACAATAATACGTACCTCAGCCAAACATTCCTGCAGTCTTAAAATAGTCTTGATCAACAACTTTAAGTATTTTGAATATTTCTTTTTTTTTATCAGTTTCTTTATTTTGCTCGTTTCCTCTCTAGTCTTTAAGCCTTGCTGTAAAACGAGCTCTAAGAAATCATTCTAAAGCCACTTTATGAGATCATAAGAACCTCTGACAGCAAGTGAACAATCCAAGTAGATATATAACAGGGTAATGTCCCGGTACAGTAGCACCTACTTTACTGAACCCTTATAAAAACATGGAAGTATGTTTCCAGGAAACAAGCTGGAAGAGAGTAAACGTCTGCTGGCTCGATGATATCAACAACATATTTTGGCTTTCAGAGCAGGGGCTAGCTGCTTTGATCAAACAATTGGTCGAAACTGTCTCTAAAGTCCATGTGTCAGCACTCCACCTGTAATCGAATTATCTATAGAAACAGTGCATGAGTAAAAGGAGGTCAGAGTTAGATTCCAGGATTTCCAGTCTGATTTTATCAACCTTTGTAGCTTATATGAGCCTCATTTCGACGCATTCATGTAGAGGATAAGCTCTACACATGTGGGGCTGATAAACGGGTCTGTCAGCAATGCTTTACTTTACTTTGGGTTGCTGTTGCAGCGGCATCGTTGGACAACTAGAAAAATATGCAATGAACAAGTAAATTCGGCTAAATAAAACTGATGATTCTTACCAACTCCTGATGCATAACCAAATGTCAGGATTGGGTGTTACCTTTCAAATATCTGCATATATTTATCCTAATGTCTCTGTTTGAACTATATGACCTGCTCTTGTAAGTATGTAGCCTCAATGTTTTACATTTTCTGTTTGTTTTATATATTTTTTTTATAATTGTTGGCATTATACACTTTGCCCAGGGACAACAGTTGAAAACAAGCTTCTTATAATACTGACACATTTAAAGAAATGTTCATAAATGTGTAGCGTTCCTGACATATAAACCAATTTGATCAGATAACTATGACACCACTGTAGGTAAATGCAGAATGGGAAAAATGAACCTCCCCAACTATGTGCCATTTTATGGCAGTTTATTTCACAAAATAAAATACAACAAAGTTTGTAATTGCAAAATAAATAAATGTGAGAAATTCAGTTTATAAAATCACATGCTGATATGCTCTATAAGCATCCGATTCAAAGGAAGGAATCTGAGACCTGCAGTTTCCAGAGCCAGACTTCTGCCAGTCTATTCATGCAAACCAGATACCTTCACCTCCAACTTAGCTGCTCTCAGCTTCTTCTGAGTGTGTTCGGGAATAAATGCAGCAAATCACATATAGAGCAATGATGTTCTCCAAATCTTTTATCACTACTAGGTACATGTTACAACCTATTTGCCATATTTTCCATTTACCATGAAGGTTTGGTGTTTTACATTAGTTTTATGTGTAACACAAATAGCCAGCATTATATGTGTGTATCCAGTGAAAAAGAGCCAGTCTGTTTGCTTCCTCCGCCTCTCAGTGGAGGAAGTTCAAACACCTGCATCAGCGTACGTGTTTGTCAACCTGCGTGTATGAGGAAGACTGAGGTGCTTGTTGTTTTTGTGCCAGCCGTCCGGATGCTTTCTCTGGCCACCGCTCCGTTGTGAGTGCATGCTGATGACCATTACATAACCCCAGGTGTCAGCTGTCCCATCGTTACCAGAGACAAGACGGTTCCATCAGCACCATAGAGGATCTTCAAGGAGCTGCTGGCATGAGTAATCTATACTGTTTCTGCTGCTGTGTGAAAGTCAGATCAGAGCTGGGAGTAAAGCATTAGGTTTCAAGACCTACTTGGTGCAGTCGTTGAAGAGCTCCTTACAGGGAGTCTGCTCCAGGCTCTCTCGGCACCGGGCGATGACGTCCTGGGGAATGTCTGGCAGGTGGGCCGCCGACTGGAGGGTTAAAGAGACAAAGAACAGAAGACAGGGAAGAGAGACACACATAAATATAGAAGGGCTTAATATACTCAACACATCGGCAACAAGGAACACATGGAAACCACTGGCCTGGTTATCTTTCCCTGACCTTTGTAAAGGAGGTAGGAAGGAAGGAACGAACAAAGGAAGGAAAGAAGGAAGGAAAGAGGAAATAACGAAGGAAGGATATAACAAAGGAAGGAAATAACGAAGGAAGGAAGGAAATAACGAAGGAA